GGAAAAATTGGGTTTTTGAGGGTCACTAATATTGGCAGGCCTTTTTAATTTCAAAATTACACTTTATCTGATGGAATCAGCATTGTAATTACTTAATTATATGTCTTGTTTTCATTGATGAAACTGCCAGTGCTGGGATCTGTGGTACATTTTTGTTTTACAGAATATTATATGCCTAATGAAAATATCCATATTCATTACTGCCTGCTAAGTTGTGAAGTAAGAAAACTTTTGAGGAAAAAAAAAAAAAAAGAAAACTAAGACAACCTTAAAGATTTTGTTAAACACACATTTTTTTTTCCAAAAAACAGATAAACTACATACAACTTCTGAAAAAAGAAACTCTGCAAAACTGACTGCAAATGAAATCATGACTGTTTAAATCAACCAAAATATGGATTTAAAATCAGTGAATCGTGATAAAAGTGAAACTGAGTAACAGAAACAAAGTCATATTCTCAGTTAGAAATCAGATGTTTAAGAGATCATTCTGGCATCACTTCACTGCTTTTGCGTAAGAAAGGGCAGCCTTTCTAAATAGCCTCTGATTAAAGTGGCTTGTTACTTAAGTAGTATTCAAAGACATACACAATGAAGATGCCACAGTGATGGAGCTCTCAATTATATTACCATAAACTTAGCTGGTGTTATCACAGTTATACACTATGATAAGATCAAAATAATTGATTGGTGTGCTTTCTACTGAGAATCTGAATAGCATGAGAAAGTACGTCTCTGAATGTTAATAGTATGCAGACAAGTGGCATTTACATAAAGATCCCCTTCCGCTGGCTGTTTACCTTTGGAACTACAGTATGAGATAGTTGGAACTGGCTTCACAGAAATAAGTACAGCAATCTTATTTACAAAGCATCTCATGATGAATATCACTTTGTATCCCAGAGAGCATTTAGAGGACAGATTTTATTATCATAAATTTCAAAAGAGCAAATATCATTCAACGTTTAGATGTTCAAAGTTTTGACTAAGTTCCAAATACTTTTCAAGTTAGCAGGGCACTGCAAAGAAAATATGGAGCTGCTATTTTTATTATGTAAACTTAAGACAATCAGCCTATTACAACTGCAAACCATTTGAGCCTTGATTATTAGGACACATGTATTACTATCTGAGCTGCGAAACAGAGATTCAAAATGTCAAAATATTAAAATTCACAAGGATCTGGATCTGACACTTGGGTTCAGATCCAAATCTGTGAAAAACACTTGCAAGAAGTCAACTTATTCCATATATAATAACAACAACCTATGGTCCTTTAAGCAGAGACCCAAATTTATGTCATTATGATGCCTACCTACAATTTGTATTCAGAAAAATATTATAGGTATTTTACAAAGCACAAAATATTGATATAAATATTTATATTTGAAACAAAAATCTTCAAGTGGAAAATTTCTTGAAGATTTAACATATAGGATAAATATATAACTAATTTAGGAAATGACCATATAAACACCAAATTTGGGGTAACAGTATTTCAAAGGCAGTCTAATGCACAGGTGCTTGTTATTGCATCTGCAGTGATAATAAATGTGAGGTTACCAGTTGTAGTCTAGACGGTCAAGATGTTGCTTGTATGTCCAAATTGCAACATGGACTAAATAAGACAATTACAGCTTGTGAGAAGTTTGGTGTATTGTAGGAGCACCTTGGTTTTCCGTTTGTGGAAAACATTGATTATCAGTGGTGATATTGCTGTATTTACCCAAAAGAAAAACAGTATCCTTTTCCCTCAAGTAGCATAGTATAATTGTACAAGCATTTTGTACTCACTAGCCCAGACAAACAGCATTGCCACTGCTAGTAATAGTCCACAGGCCTTACGCTAACTGCGCCTTATGCTAACCGCGCAAAGGCCCTAGCCTGGCCTATTAGGTTTGTTATCAGCTGGCTCTAAGAACTTGATTTGGGAACCAGAGCCTGATATCAGGTGTTTCTTGTTATGATACACAGTTTAAGCATTGGTTAGCAGCTGAGGTCTTGAATCTGTGGGCACAGGTTGAAGGCAGAGGCTCTAGATCCATAAACAAGTCACTGATGATCAATTAAAGGTTACTGAAAAGAAACAGAACCTCAAGAGCTGGGAAAAGACTGCTTCTGCATTAAGAAAAGAAGCAGCAGCAACAGGGGGAAAAAAATCCAGCTGACGGCACTGCTGTGGCCTGGGAACACCCCATCAAGTATCTTGCATCATATAATTCAGGGACTGAAAACAAGGCCTAGGAATTATCTAGAAACATCCATCCATGTCTAGAAACCATCCTATTAAAGGATGGGAGGAGGGACAGAGAAAGGGGGAAGAGAGGGGAGAGAAGGAAGAGAAGAGGTGCACTTCAGTTCTAACTCACTTTGCTGAAGAATGCTTGAGCTTGGCCGTGTCATCTTGTTCAATAAGCCTGACAGACATTATTGCTAACTATACAGCATTAGCTCTGTGATACTGTATATTTGCATCTGATTTTGGACACAAGTGTTAAAAACCAACTAGTCTGAAAATGCAGTGATAGTGATTGGTAGTAAGAACTAAGTCATAGTGATAATGATAAATAACGTGCAAGAACAAACTATTAGCAGGAAGGATGCAGTTAATGATTGTCAATCCAGTAAGATTTTGTTCTAAAATTTAAGAAATGGTTAAACTCAGAAGTGGCATACAGCACAGTGTGATAAACAGGCATTCCTAACATTCAAGTCATTTTCAGTTAAAAACTTCTTTTGCTGAAGAGTTTGAAGAGTGCAGATGCAGGGTACATTATGAGCTGCTCACTGAAAAAATATCTTGAAGAAACAGTTTATGTATATAGACTATAGTTTTCTCTTCAAGTATGTATCTATCTGAATTCCATAAAAGGTAACTGGCAAGCAGCATCACTCTCAAATGGTGAGATCAAGAAGCTTTCAGCTACTTCATTCCAACAATTGAAGTAACGATTTTACAAATCTAACATCTGATATAGTCACCATAAAAAGAGATAATATGTAGCAAAAAACAGTTGCACTCTACACTGTCACACTCCATATAAGAGTGTTTTGGTATTTTGATAGACATTTGACAACAGGTCAAATGGAATATTTTTGTGACTGATTTACAGGTTCTCCTACATAAGACTTAGCCTTTCAGTAACCAATTATAGCTAAACAAAAGAAAAAAAAATGTTTCAAAGTCTGTGTTACTACTGGAGCAGGACTAGAGTAACATTATGCCTCCTAGTAGTTATGGTTTTGATAACAAGTATAAAGAAAGGAAAAATAAAAACAAACATCACCCCCCATCCCTGCACTCGCACATGCACTTTACAGATTGTTGTTCCTGTGCGTTCTGACAAAAAAATCTACCACAGGTACTACCACAGCCAGAATACTGTTTTTTTAGTAGACTTTTAAAAACAATGATTCAAACAACACAGGAAACCTTACAAGGACTTCTGCAAACAAAAAAAATCAGTACAGCAGATGCCAACTTACTGAGGATCAGACTCAAGACATTTATAACTTCAGGTCACCCTAACATCATGTTTTTCCACTGCTGCTGTTTAGATCAGTCATTCTAGACTGGACCTTAAGTGGCTGCTAACAAGACCAAGAAACCTCTTTCCATGCATTTCTTTGATCTAATCAAAAAGCAAGCTACTAACAGACAAACCAGCATTTTCAATCAATGACTTATCTGATTTGTGGATGACAAATACGTAATTCCTAGCCACATCAGTGGAAGCAGTAGGTTTAGCAACCAGAATCACACATATGCACGTGGACAAATGACTCAGAGGTCATTTGAACATCTGAACTTGTTCTCTGGAAAGTCTGAACACAAAATCATGAAGAATAAGGCTAGAGAGGAGCTTTAGCTTTCCCAAAAGCACTATCAATCGTATGTACAGCATTCCTTAGGGAAGAATGTCTAACCTGTTTTGAAATGCTTCCAACAACACATGAATATAGATACCTATTTTGCACTTTCCTAATCTTCTGGAGCTTCTTCTATATTCCATGAGCTTTAAAAAGATAATCACTGATAATTTTCTGATTGGGTCTTGCATTTACTTCGAGAGAATTAGAAATGCTGTGTTCAGAGGACTTCCAACTGAAGAGGAAGCTTTAGCCTCATACCTCATGACATGCATGTACTTCTGAAAATAAATCAAAGACCTACTTGGTCTAAGAATCTCTGAAATTAAATACACCTACTACTATGGCTATTAGTGAAACACAGAAGACAACCATTTATGCCAAAGGTACCTACCGGGGTTTGAGCGGAGAACTGTTTAACAATATCTGTGCGGAAAAAAATGAAAGCGGCTCATGGTAATTTACACAGTAAGTCATATATCATTCTGAAGGAATCCAGAAGAGATTAAAAACTTAACAGTATGGAGGATCAGACATCATCTTTAGTAAGAGAGAACTCAGTGTCTGGTCTTTTTTGGTACAAAAGACAACACAGCATAAATGAATAAATTTAAAAGAAACTCTAACCGTGGGTTTTTTTAAGGTGTTTCAATAGAGATCTATTGAAATAACAACTGACATACTCAAAGATGAATCTATACTACTTCGGGAAGGGCTATTGTCATAAAAAGAATAAAAATGAATAGGTAGCCTTAGTTAAAAGAAAAGAATAAAATGGCTTTGTGATATGGAAACTGTCTTTGTTCTCAGGGAGCATAACGGATTCTCAGCGCAACTGAGATAATATTTGGTCACACAAGGTTCAATAGATTCTAATGGAAAAGAACTAAGCAATATTACAAGATCTAAAATAGCTTGTGGAAACTAGATAAACCTGAGACAAACTTGTAAACAAAAACAAATTTAAGAAACCTTTTGCTGTGAGCTTTAATTGCTGAAAATAAATCATTTATTCTGTCTTTTCTCCAAAACATATTGAGATAATGAAAAAAAAAAAAAAAACAAAACCAGCTCAGGTTTTATTTCTAATAAAATGCCAGATAAAACGGGCTGTTTTCCACATTACTTACCTGTTTTCATTTCTAACAAGCGCTTTTTCTTTTGTTGCCTCTCTAATTTTTCTTTCTCTGCTTTCTCCTTGGCTATTCTAGCACGCCTCTGTTTTTCTTCTGCTTCCCTTCTTCTCATATTCTCCTTTACAGCTTGCTATGGAAATAAAAGTTCCATTAAAACTGAAGTCTTATCAAAAGTAATTTGAACCTTAAAAACAAAGAAAAACACATTAAAAAAAACATATCTTCCAACTAGCCTTAAATTATCAAGTCAAATAAATATTTTACATTCTATATTTAGTACGTTTTATTCAGAAGAATAAGCAAATTCAGAATAAATGCATTAGAAGCACATTAATTAGCCCCTAAATGGGAATATGTATCTCAGCAAAAGATAAAGTTTAAGAATACACATTAAGGTAGGAAGAAGTCAAAATATTTTAATTATCTTATTTCACAAAACTATAAATATTTGATACTACTTGTAGTTCTAGAACAGTTTTGAGATTTATTCTTTCTTCTCCTGCTACTACCCCCTAAAAAAGCAAGGCTGGTTGGGTGATTTAGCTGTGCATTTTTCTTTTTCTTAACCACAAACTTACTAATTCACTGGATTTATAAATTCTTGTCTTCTGGCTAATATCCAGATAATGTTGTTTACTTTGAGTATAAATAAGTACACCAAAGCTTCCAATGAAGCCAAAACAGACTAATCTGAGAATTTCACAGTTTTTAAATTAATATTTTGCATATATGGAAATCAAGCAAGTCACCTAATTGTGTCATAGTAAATTTTTAATAAAGCTATTTTAGGGATTACCTTTTAGTTACCTATATACACTGGTAAATTCAGTGCTTTACTGTGACGGCTCATATTAAATGAAAAATGAAATGCAGCTGGAATATACGTGCCAATTTCCCTCTGGAATCTCTCTTGCTTAAAACATATTTCTTTATATACTCATTCTCCTAGCTTGCTCTATTTCTATATAAAGTTTTAATTTTTCTTCTTCCTCCTCAAATTTTCCTAAATTTCTGTCTGTTAAATGATTCTGGTATAGGAGCGTTTTTTAAATATTATTTTAAATAAAATATTTAGAAGAAAAACAGATTTAGCCCATTATTCTTCACTGCAGAAAGCTTCTATTTTTGAAATTCAGTTACACGCAATATCTCATCATTCATAACAGATCGAGGTATTCCCTCCTACAAAATGTCTAACATCTTCATAAGGTCTGAGGCAGACCCTGCATGCTTGCAAATGTAATCAATGCCTCATATTTTTTTTTGCAGAAAAGCACTCAGCTTGCGCTCAGAGAAAATTTAAGAACGTACTGAGGAGTAATATAAAAAGCATAGGTGCATATGGACTGCAGCAATATTTGCACAGGCATTGCTTATAGCATCACTCCAAAGGAGAAGTGATCAAAAAGAAGGAAAATATTCCTGCAAGTTTTGATGAAGTTTTGATGAACTTGCAGGCATGAAAAATAACACAGAAATTAAAGAACTCTTTAAACAAAGGAAAATCTTACTTCCACAGTGAAAAGGTAACTTTATGAAAAATTATAGAAGTAGACACCTTTTGCATATCATGACAAATGTTTTTGTTTGCAGGACAGAGGTATTCTTGGGTTCTCTGCTGTGCTTCCCAGGATTATTTTTGACTTTTATTCAAGTTTTTGCATAATACAAAAGATAAATGCTCTAGGGACGAGAGAACAAATGTTAGCATGTTCTCTCATACTTGTATGTTCTAACTATATCACAGATTTATGCCCTTACAGAACCAGAAGAAAAGAAACCAAGTTAGTCTCACTTTTGCTGCAGAGCAACCTAGTTCCAACAGGAGTGAGGGGTTTCTATAGTCTAATGCTTTGGAGTACCACACCCAGCCTCCAGCCTGTCTCTAGCAGGGCACACACAGGTCTTCTATAGCCCTTGTGCCGTAATTTAAAATTCTAGGCTGATGTCTTGGATGCCATTTAAAACACCACTCCAAGATAGTAAGCGCTTCTATTGACAAGCTTCCTTTGAGAACTGCCTGTTCAACTAAACTTAGATGACTACTTACCATGAGTTAACAGCTCTCCAGACTCCACTACCTATATTGAATATGTATCTCCCTTGACTAGAACAGGAGTTTAGACATTTAAGTTCACATGTAGACCTACATTTAGAGGTCTATATTCTGGAGCCAAATTCTATCCTACACGTTCTCTATGTTTTTAACACAAAACATAGACACCTAATGTTCTGCAAACTGCTTATACCAAGAATAATCACAAACTTGATTGAGATGAACACACTTGTTGTTTCTCATGCTGTTTGCATTTCAAAACCTACATATTTTAATGCTAGTTCGCCTAAAATGCCTACAAAATTAGAGTGGTCTGACCACACCTACTACAGAAGTTACCAGCTTTGCTTGACAACAAAGGCAACTGACCTTGATCCTCCCACACCTACTGGTGACCTAAGCAGTCCTTCAGTTTGGAACTTTTAAAAAATTCAATAATTTTTCAGGAGTGAGTCTGAACACCTTTTGAGCTAAGAATTCCAGGATATCGAACACCTTCAGTTTCTGCCAGTAACCAACACCAAAGCTAAATAAATCTGAAAGTCAGATCTCAGCTGTCTGAAGCTAGGCACGTCAGAAATCTTTTCCAAAAAGACTGAAAACTGAGCAGCTACTCAATATTTTGCTTTAGTGTCACTAAATGATAAGTGGTTTCATACCTTATCTACACACCCTTTTTGCATAGCCCTCAAACTGTGCTCTGCAAGACAGAACTATTAGTTTTACTCAAGGTTTCTTCTATTATGCTCATCAATAATATCTAACTGTTTCAAAGCATTAATTAATCTATCTTTATAACACTTCTGCGAAGTTGAAGTTAGTATCAGTGCCGGTTTTACAGGCACAAAAGAGCAATATGCAACCACCACGTTGTGTCTACAAGTTGAGATTAACCTGAATATTTAGAAATCCCATCCTACCACATTTCAATTGAAGGTGTGTTTTAAACTTCAGAAATTAAATTCATTTGACTATTTCAGACTATTTAGCATTTGCACAGATCAGATCCCTGAGTTTCAACTTAGGTACTAAGCAAATAAGGAAAACAATCCATGTCCAAGTTTGAAAAATCTGGCATACTGTAACTTGCCAAGTAAGTTATTCTAATTGATGACAATGCCTTCTCAGTTTTTAGCTGTTGAACTCTTAAATAGCAGAGGCTTCATGAGTTCTAGTAACTTTGCCTAATATAGGTCAAACTTTAAGTCCTTTCTTCAAAGTAGATAGACATAGAAATTTCAAAGCCATTTTTAAATGTGTACAAAATAAGTATTTTTCCCTATCTACACTCTCTAGACCCATCTAGCTACCTAATAATAACATCTATTTTTTCAAACATAATTAAAACATCAACCTCCCTCCCCCCAAAAAACCAAAAAAAATTCCCAACTTAAAAAAAAAAAAAAAGATTTCAAGTTTTCCCCTTTCAGGTTATATATACACATGGGAGGCTCAGTTTTAAATTACACCTGTTATTTAAAGTTTCCTGCTCTTTCAGAAAGAAAGAATCTGCAAATAATTCAAATTTCAAAACCCGTTATCCTTACCTGGCAGTATTTAGGATGTGGAAAGTAAAATTTCTTACATGAATATCAAATGTCATTTGAGAATCGGGAAAATTATTTTTAGTCTGCTCAATAACTGAATGACTATACAAATAATTTCTAAGAAACAACAACTTTAGGCATAAAATAGACAGACTGTACCATGAACATCGTCCTGAAGTTGTTCAAGTCGGTTAAAAACTCCTCCACCGAAACTTTCTTCAGATCAATAGCATAATATCCCATCACGTTCTGATACAACTTTTCCATGTTCTCATGCATCCGGGAAAGTTTCTGAAAATCTTCTCTGGCATGAACAATAAAGCTGTATATTGCTATTAAGGCTATAAGAACACTTACTAAATCCAATCAAAACCACATTTTTTAACATTAATTTGTATTTCATATATATTTTTTGTTTGTATCAGACGAAGTATGAAGATAATTCCTTCCATATTATACACGCATCACAACACTTAGTGCATACATTAATACTTTGAATAAATCAAGAGTTTTCAGCCACTTTTATAGGCTAATGGAATATTTTACATATATATATATACACACACACACACACGTGTGTATATATATATTTTAAACATATATACATATTTTTAAAGATAACATATGTAATTTTAGTTTGCTGAATTTGGTTCTATATCTATAACAAAAAATTTATAAGTAACAGTAAAATATAGCTTCAAGATATATTTTTAAAATTTACTAACGTTAAGGTTAGATTTAGATGTAGGAGCTGATATCACTAAAAGACAAATGGCATTTACATGAAATCAAAATGGAGTTCAGATGCAGATACAAATTACTAACCTGAATACTTCAATATTTCAAGAAAATACATGGTTCCTAGTAAATATACAATAGACAAAAATTTTTGAAAACAGAATTAATAATCAAAACCATCCAAGATAGAAGCCTCATCTTAACAGCTTTTGCAAATGTTGTTGTAGCAATACCAGCAGCAAAGCATTCATTTCTATTCATGATGGCTGCATCAGGTATTTATGCTTTTTAAGGCAATTTGCAATGTCAATACCATTTAATTAAATTAGAGTTGAAAAAAACAGAACTGTGTCTACAAGAGACAGACAATTTATATAAAGCAACAAAATACTGCAACATGTAAATGAAGTAAAAATCAAGAAACTACATTTATTGAACATGTATGATAACATAGTTTATCGAAGAAGCTCAGAGAAGAAATATTGCATATCCCTACGTAGAACTACTTCGTAAAGTGTTTATTTTAGTGGAATGGCAGCTAAACAAATATTTATGTTCCATTATTTTCATGCTGCAGGTAAGATTGAACAAGAAAGAAAAGAAATGACAACTTTACCTTTTCTCCCATTTCCCACCCCAACTATCGAAAATAGAATGTACTGTATGTGTATACTACATATAACACATACAAAGACTATGGTCATTTTGTTTTATGAGGCAGAGCATTTTTAATTCAGTGATTTAAAATCTAGACAAATAGAATTTTTGTCTACCGTGCTGTTCTAAAAACAGACAATAACAACCTAGTGCTGAGTGCTTTTACCCTTCATTCTTTTTTTTTGATGCTTTTAAGTCATGTGTGGTTTGCATGCTGAATCCTATTTGATTTTCAATTAAAAAAAATTAAAAAATTTAAAAAGGCTCTTCTTGTTTGTTAAAATTGCTTTTAAAATATCAAGTAAGCAGCTAATGCTTTCCCCAGAAACATACAGGGGAGGAGAAATAATGCATTTCCATAATGTTCAAGATAGTCACTATGACAGCTGTGAGCTGGATCTGTAAGGGTAGAATGCTCTCCACTGTGACAGTCTTCTAGCTGGATGAACAAACCCTAGATTTCTATGGTTTTGCATTATACATCTTCCTTCACCCTCAATAACATAATTTCAGACTTTCTCTACCCTGGTAAGGTTCCTCCCTCCCGCCAAAAGGCAACAAGGGCTTTTTTCCCTTTTTCTATTGACTAGATAAGACGCAGCTCGTGAGCACCTTCAACCTGCCTGTGCTGCCTCGCTCTCAACAGCTCCAAGAGAATTGATGTTGTAGTTGCACTTTTTCTTCCACATTGATTTGCATCTCTCTCTTCTGCTCAGCTCTCGAGTTAACAAGCTTATAGGAAGCTAATTATCTTTCCAAGCTCTCTGCTTCCACTGAGTTTACTTAAAATTATTATGGATATTAAGAAGTTATTGGTGGGACAGGGAGGAAAGCGGATGAGACTAATACGTAACAGCTGCCCAAATCTTTAGGAAAAAAAACCCAAAATCAGACGATGAAAAACAAGATATGACACAAATATAAGTTAGGACTCACAAATACAAGTTAGGACTATCAAAACACATTAGTTAGCAGTTTTTTAAAAAATATATAATAAGGGAAAGCAGTAAAATTAATTTAAGTCAGTCTAGAAAGAAATATTTTTACATCTTGTTTATTTTAGAACCTTCCTTTGAGGGTACTTATTTGTGGTTCTTAGATCATTAAGAGAAGTCAGGGAGAACCTGAGTTTCTTCCCAAGCTTGAGTTTGCATATAGCAGAAGATGGGCAAAGGAAAATCAACTTTTTTTTTTTTTTATTTATTTGTTGTCAGTATGTATTAATACCACACATCAATCATTCCAGGAACTTTCTTCAGTTTTCTAAGGGGGAGAATCCCAGGAAAAAAAAATGTTAAAATGATCAGTAAGCATCATAAGTGAAAGATTTGCCAGAATATATACTAAAAAACCCCAACCCTCTGTGCAGGGGAGCGGATTTGCATGATATCCTACAGGACGTAACTGTAGTTACAGCTATACTAAAGAAGTCCCTATAAACTGCTTAGTTTTTACTGCTTAAATTGACTCCCCTTGAATACGTCATGCACACTTTCATACACAAAATATAGCAAGTCTTTCCAGAATGCCACTAAGCAATATTTCAATGCTAGACACTATGAATTCTGAGATTTTTTTTTTCTTCTGGTGCCTTATGGGATACCCTACGCACTTGGTATTCTACTAAGACTGTGCTTCAGTTTAGGCAATTTTAATAAGTTCTGTTTCTTTTTTCTGTAAGCATGGCTTTTGTTAGCCAGCAATAGCTACACTGGAGACAACAGGGAATGCAACCAAGGTCCTAAAGGTAATTATTATGAACAGGTTGATATATATGCATTACCAGACACACAGCCTATTGGCTTTGGATGAACGAAGACAGAAGCTGCAACACAGGTGGGAGGAAAAGGAAATCAAGTAGTTAGTTATTTGTTAACTTTTCCCGCAGTGGCTTCATTTCATGGACTGCCTTTTTGGACTTATGGGACTACAGATCATCATTCTGCTCGTTAATGGAATATGAAAGCAATGAAGGAATGAGATGAGTATTACCTGTGGCAAAATTTCATACTCCTATGTTTGACCTTGCATATTTATGACAGACCTTTTTGTAGTGAACCACTTGAAGTTTATACTGATTCTAATGTATTGTGCTAAATAAAACACTAATATAGTGCAGGGTGTAACGACAAATAAAAACAGCTATTAGTCTACAACAGATATAGAATGATGTTAATCTGTACTGAAAATATTCCCTCAAAAGTACCCATATACACTGCATTTGAATTATTCACAAACGAATCAATGTGCTAAGAGCAGACAATCCAAAAAGGCAATGTGATTCTGCATAAGAACAAAAAATTAACAGGTGCATAGGTGCTGCACATATTTGCACAGAATCTTCAAGACGGAATTATCTGAGAGACTGCCACTACACTAGCCAGCAACAGACTCGCTAAAAACATAGCAAACTTTCCAAAGATCTGTGCAGAAACACTTTGACGTCACTTCAGCTCAGAATTTCAGTAAACGATTTTCTACTGAGGCTAAAGGGTGGGATTTTCGCAGGGCTCAAGTGAGGACTTCCTGTATCAAGTTTTTGGGAGAGCAACCGTTAATTTACTGAAAAAAATACGTCATAGAGACTTCATCATATATAGCATATGTAGCAAGGTTCAGCAATAATTCCTTATCTACATATAATAGTTCAAGAAAAACATACAGATATTTAGATGCTTAAATTAGAACCTTCTGAAGAGTATTAGTCAAAAAATATACTTTCCTTGACTCACTCTCTTCTACTTATCTCAACATTATAATACTAAAAACAAATTGGCATGTATTTGTATCACCTATAGCTGCTGCATCCAGTATGTTTATCTCATATATTATGACCAAAACTATGCTGTATTATTTGTCTGAAGACCAAACTAGGAAATAAACACCTAGAAAAAGTAATCATACACTCCAATTGAAATTTACACTGTTTGCCAAAGCCCTGTCTCATGACTTGTCCACACAGCCAACATCCTGACCTTCTCCCAAAGACCAACATAAAATCGCTTTTCACTTAACCAGCTCAGGTCCTATAATCTTCCATACCTTAGGACGAATACACACTTGAGTTGGTTTATGTTGCACAGAAGGAAGCTCATGCTATGTGGCTGATCAGGTAATCAACAGTTTAGAGGCAGTGTTTAGTCTCACTTTTGCTGTTGAAATGGGTTTCTTCTACCTCATTTGAGTCTAGCTCTGACTAGGATAAACTCTGTTCCTTCCTTCTTATTTTTTAGCAAATTCCACAAGTTCGCTTAAACTACAAGTAGAATAGAGAGCTGATCAAAAAGAAAGGACGCAGTCTTAGCTGAGAGGCAGTGACCAGCTCCTTGTCTCTCAGGTATTAGTTCCATAAGCTTCTGTGAAAATCATCATCAACATTACATTCAGTAGTGGGCTCAAACTTGTTCAAGAGACTGGTTCTCTTGCTACTTAGAAAATTATGAGATGTGAGCTAGGTTGGTACAAAGGATGTTCACTTAATTACTTAATGAAGCTGTTAATATGCAATTTCAATATGCTTCATAAACGCACTATATTTTTATTTTGAACTTAAAAGTGTATTTTGTTCAATATGCTTTTTGCTGAACATTTCACTGAATGCATTTAATACTCTCAATCAATATCAATTCAATATTCTTTGACTTTCCTAATTAAAGCAAGCTAAAGAATTGCGAAATCACTGTAATTTCTTTTCAGCCGGTATACATAAGATGACTGACAAACTAGCACAATCTAATATATAGGAGAAATATTCATAATTACCGACTTTGTCAATAAAAGAGTGCACCAACTGTGCATATATCTGACTTCCTAAAGAAACAAGAATGCTAATCAGTTCATTAGGGGCCTCTGGGTTGTGATATTTAGCGACAGGATGTAATAGCCTGCTTGTCCATGGAGCCTAATTGTACTCAGGATGAAAAATTATTTCCAGCAAAGCACCATCCTTCCTTTTTCAGATTTCCTGCTGGTTTCTTTTTATGAGCTGCATGCCTTTCAAGACATCAGCATCATTCAGCTTTCCTTGTCACAGGAATAAAAGTAAAGACAGGTCCAGGCTTCATCATGCTGTGCAGGATTATCTAACCTTTACATCAAACCTTTTTTGCTTCGTAATTTATTGAAGCTCCTGTTTTTCTAAAGGAGAGCTTCTTTAATTAGTGTGTTCACAGACATAGCTACAAACCATATGCAATTTCACTGTTCTGTAAATTACTGCCTATCTACTGGGAGAGGTAATAGGTGAGGGCTAATTATTTCTGTTCATAATATTTACTGTTCAAAATGTTGTGTTTGTATAGTCTAATATAATAAAATACTTGGTGCCATTGTTTTTATCTGTATTGATTTATTTTGAATAAGACCAAATATTCATCTCATCTGCTTCTGACAGTAGTCAATACCCAATGATTAGAGAAAACACGAAGTAAACAGGATAAGTATTGCACAGTAGCTTAACTGATGTAGTATTTAGCTTTTAGCAGTCTGCAGGTTAGTGATTTTCTAAGCTAAAGCTGCCCCTAGACTACCATGTTTAATTGCTCCTGAAGTACTACCTTTAGTTAACTAAGTCCTTTATGAAATTCATTTATAATTTTTAACCTCTACAACATCCAGTAAAAGTAAATGCATTTTAGTTTAAGCATTTGTTGTGTAATAAAGTATTTCCATTGGTATGTTTTAACCTGCTGCTCCATATTTACATGGAGGTGAACCCTGGTTATAAGGTAACAATTAATACGTTCCCAACTCTTCTCCTCAATGGCCTAAAAAATGTACAAGTATTTTTATGCATTACTCCATAATCACAGACATTTGCCTGCCCTTTTGTCACCTAATCATTCAGTATCTGCCTTATGACATAACTTAAGAAAAAAATTTTTTGCTAGGCATTAATCTAGACAAAATAATCATTCTACTTTTCACCTAAGAAAAATGTTTCTTTGGAAGTCTCTGTTAATGCATCTTGTTGCAAGCAACCTGGAAATTCAGTTATGCTCTGCCAAAAGATATTTGTGAAGCATGGTTTCCCTTTACAAAACCTCCACAGGCTCTCCTCCAGTATCATATCTCCCATATATACATATTAGTTCTACTTTTATTTAGTCTCCTTTAATTTTCTTGGTACAGAAGTCAGACTTACTGCTCTGCAATTGTCATTTCTTTCTTACAGCACTTTTAAAAAACTGATGTACCTCTTGCCAGCTTCCATTCCATGGTGTCTAGAGCCAGCTTAGTAGCTCACTCAAGTTTACGTAGTCCAACAGTTTCAGATTTTTCCTCCAGTCAGGAAAATTCCACAGAGGGGTCTACCAAAGTTCTCTCTAGTGAAAACTGATGTAAAGAACTCATAAGCTTTTCCAATATGGTTTTATTTTCTTTGTAAACTTTGACTGTCTAACAGGCCTACATCTCCTCTAGCAGGATCCCTGCTTCTGAGATGCTTTTAAAGAAAGATGCATTTAACTTCCTCTGCATAACTTGTGACAATCATTATCCTTGTTAAGTGATCAATAAATTGCCATAATATATGGGGATAGAATTTCAACCCATAGAAAATTCATAGTATTTATTGACAAGGTCTACCCATTAACCCTACCTGACTTTTATCATATTTTAACTTACTTCATTATTGCTCCACCACTGTGACCTGTTCTGTCTCAAATACATTTTATAATCCTATATCACAATATCCCACTAACTTCCTGCTATTAAGTTTCAGAAACGCCCATTATGTCAATAACATAAAATTCAAATGACGCATCCTAATTAATCACTTTTGGATTTTAGATGTCTGATATTTACACAGAAGAATGTACTTATTCCTCAACTTACTTTTTTGTGCTCTCTTTCTCAGTGAAACTTATTTCTTTAATCTATTCTTTACTCATTCCCAACTGAATTTTGTGAAGTTCTTTTTTCCCTGCCCCCCCCCCCCCCAAAAAAAAAAGGTAAGGAATTATAATGGATCACATCTCCTAAGAAACATGTATGCTAAATTATGTGTTACTTCAAAGTCCAGTCCTCAGCTTAAAAATATAAAGGGTATAGGGTATGCTAAATGCTAGCATTATGATTATTTCAGATTAAGAAGGGTCTGCCCTTTTTTCATAGATTTTGGTTTCTTGATAAATGCCTCCCATTCCTAACTTCCTGCTCCACACATCATTTTCTTACCCAAGAACAGACTTTGCCTCTTTGTTCAGTCCTGGTAGGATTTCTGAGAGCACTATCATGGATATGTTTTCCTCCAACTTTCTAGCAGTAGTTTAACTCTTACCTTCAGAACCTGTTCTCCAAATTCTCCTCTGTTCTATTTGCTTATTCAGGGACATAACTTATGTATCATAAAATAGAGACATCATTTTGGTGGGCTGCAACATATACCTTGAAAACTCTTTAAGCTGGGGAAAAAACAAAAAAAAAAAACCCCCCCCCCCCCCCGGGAAAAAAAAAAAAAAAAAAAAAAGCACAGAATATCCTCACCAACAAAACATCCAAACTTACAAAAATCAGTGACAACATTGACAGGTTATAGGGACACCACAGGGAGTTTAGAGGTCTCAAGCCAAGCGAGCTGCAGCTTGGTTGCAGCTAGTCTACTGAATAGGGAATTGACCCTAAAGCACCAATGATAAAAGCCAGTATATCCCTCAGAGTCTGTTACAGGTCCCGTGCTGTATTTTACTTAATAGTATTAGATTAATCAAGAGGACTGAATAACTGACTCCTCCTGCCTTTGTACATGGCAAGGTAGTCTTCCTACAATCATAAAAACCCAGCTATTGCAGCTAAGCAAATTTCAACCTGTCTCCCTCTAACTGCTGATATTGTGCTTTCATGATATCCTCAGTGCCAAGTGTATAGGACCAACATCTGGCAGGGAGGTTTAAACTAGAGAATGCTTTTCTTTGCTTTAATTAAATATCTGCATGCCACAATGCTTTCTTTCGAGAGTTACAGGTGGTTAACTTTATGCAGAGTTTGGAATAAATAATGAGAAAAGGAATTTTGGCAAAAATAAGATTAGATATGTTTTCAAAAGCATGAAATACATTTCTCAAATAAGAAAATTATACTTTTCAAAAAGAAATGCTGTAGACTAGGTAAAAGTTATGCAAATAAATTAAAAGTCTCAGTCAATGTACTTAAATTACTTTCTCATTCTTTTACAAATACCCCAAAGGATATAGACATTTTTGCCACGAACTTATCGTGCTTATCTTCAGGAACTGGAAAAGTCTGTAAATCTTTCTCAAGCTGTTGGAGTTGCCTTTCCATATGCTTCAGGCTCTTCTCCAGGTTTTCTGCTGAGACTAAAATATAGTACATTTATTCTGCTAGCACCTTAAACAAAAAAAATTGTTTGTAAAGTACATAAGTTATAACATCACCCAAATAGCATACCCTTTCTAATTCTGAAATAAAAATCTCATTAAATGAATTACAGTAACAAGACAAATGGGTCACTCTACAATGCTCAGCCTCACTTATATGGTTACCTTATTCTTATTAGATGCATGCAGTATATGAATGACTGCATTTTTTTTTCAAGCGCTTTTCTTTTTTTTTTTTAATCTAAGGTTTTGCACTGCAACCAACAGCTTTTTTTTTTTCTTTTTTTTTCTTTTTTTTTTTCTTTTTAAAGTAACCAGGGACTTATATATGCCAGTCTACCTGGTTAACTACCATAGGCAAAGATTTGAAGTTATTCCAACATTCACAAAGCTTTCCTCAATCTTATTTTGTTAAAACAGAAAACTCGAGCCTTTCCACGGATCATGAAGAAAACAAGAACCTCAAAACACAGAGAAAAAGAGGGTATAAAATGTCTAAGCCAGAAACTTAAGACCCTGGTCCGTAGTTTGAAAGCACAATGCCAGATAAAATGCACAACAAAATTTGTTAGCGCCAAAGTGCTTGTCAAGTTTGGGGGGAAATGAGGACAGGGGACAAGGGAAACAAGAGCTTAGAAAACAGAAAGGAGTATTGAGGAAATATCAGGGATTTATAGAAGGAGGTAGAAAAAATTGCAAGATTGCTTTATCAGAAGAAGATAAATTTAACTTTCAACCATATGAAACAATGCATGGAAGCTGAACACTTAACTTTAAATAGTTAATTAAAATATTAGGACAGCAAGGATAACCTGAGGGAAACTCCTGCTGGCATGTATTCTATATTGGATTTACATTAATTAAATCAGTTAATATATAATTATTATAGATATAATTATTATTTCCTGATCGTTTATGAAGTAAATATAGCATTTAAATATATTTCATATTTAATTATGAATTATTAGTTGGTCCCTATGTCATATGATACATATTTCATATGACCAATATATATATTGGTAAGAACATGCTTTGAATTTTAGTCTGTCACACTTGACTTTTTGTTATTATTTCTTACATTCATAATAAGGTAATATTACTTATAACTTCCTCTACAAAATCCGTGCAGAAAGCTTACGGATCTATGATATCAACACAATCAGTAATGGATCCATGATTTCATCCCCTGAGTAGAGTTATGTGACAGAAAATACAAGATACACTCACTGAATGCATATTTCTCTCATAAAAGACTGACAGAGTCCCCACATGATTGAATTAAAATGTCATATAGCAACTACAATTCCATTCATAGTAGGAAGGTTACTACAACTATAAAACGATTAGTGGTAACCTGAGAAAATGCTAGTGCAGCCCATAGAACCAATTTCTAGACAAAAGGGAGCAATAATCAACCTTTCTAAAAAGAGTAAGTAATATTACATATGAGTACATATCATAATTAAAAAAAAAAAAAAAAGACCTGTTTACTAAAAGACACCATGTTCCAATCAAAGAATGATTGAAAAACTCTGATCACCACCAGGTAGGTTAGTTAGCTTGAGTACTTAAACTGCCTTGTTTGAGAAGCAGAGCTAAAATTAGAAGCTGACAAAGCTGACTACAGATGTGTTTGAGTCTTCATATATTTCAGAAATAGAAACAAAACTAGATAGTTAAATATAAATCCATAATTCTACTGGCTTAAGAAGTCTTTGGAGGTAGGCATACACAATCTTAAGATACTGATTTATTTAGAAAGCTGCTAAGAAACATAATATATACTTTCTGTTTAATAGTTTGTCTCACCTAGACCTAAAAAGAGGTCATAGCGTAAAATAAAGATAAGGTACTTAGAATGATCAGATTAGCAAGGAGACAGGGCTTTTTTTGTGCATGTTTGCTGTTGCTGTTGTTTATAAATCTGCATCAATTGCAGTAACTGAAAAAGAACTTCTTTCTTTTTGCCAGATAAAAAATTTCAGTGCCTACCCAATTAACAGGTTGTATAACTGTTAACCAGATCTAGGCACTGAGATTTTTGAATTTTTGCTTCTGGCAAGACAATTTTTTATTTCTTTTACTTTAGTTCTTTTGACCTAGAACAATTAAATATTTGTTCAAGGATCTTTACATCTCTATCTTGTTCTGAAGATTCTTTTTTCTCTGTCATGATCTTAACTCGATCCTGACTATAAACTGAGCATTCCTTTGATTTTAGCAAAGGACATCCATTAGATTCATTTTCCTTTAAGAATCCTACTTACTGAGTTTTTAGTTTAGTATCTCAGTTATCTCAGTATCTACAACATGACAATATGGAACTCTGATTTTTGTTTCCACAAATTTCTAAGGGGATATTTTGACCACCTTCCTCTCTCAATCAAGATTACCATTCTTGTTTAAAATTAAGGTAATATTTCTTCCATCTTTTGGATTATATCTGCTTTGTCTTTAGCTTCAGAAATAATTCTCCAAAGAAAAATAATCCTACTTGTGTTCTTTCTCACTTATATTGCTGTAAACCTTCTACTACTTTTTGCAATAGATACTTCAGCTGATATTTTAAAAATCATCACTTTATCTACATGCTGCCTAAGCTCAATGACAGTTTTCTTTGATGGTCACTATCGCGGTGCCAAGAGAATCCTCCTCTCCCATAGAGATATTTTGCTTTCTTTGTGATATTCTGGCACCTACATTCATTCAAGGGGACAGTGTGACAGCAACAAGCTGACCTATATCCTCTGCTGATGTAGAAAACTACACTGTAGGGAAGAAAATGAAAAAAGATTCTGAAAATGTTCTACTGCTTTTGCCAATGGACTTCATGAATACTGGACTCATGGACATGAGTCTACTGAATAAGTCTTTAAAAATGTCAACATATTATTGACATAGCATTTCAAAGTAAAACTTATTGGTTGAATGACAAAATATAGCCTCACAACTCTTCTGCTGACTGCTCTCAGAGAAAAGAAAAATGTCACATAGTCTCAAGCACTAACATGGAAACATTTCAGAGACAACAAATTAGGTTTGTGTAAACACCAGCACAGGCCTCAGATATCCAGGAACAGTGGAATAAGATTGAGCTGGATATATTCACTCAGTATTACAGAAAAGGATTGAAAATACAATATTTATGCTTTTTTTCCCCCAAGATGACTTTCTCTCATCTTCTACAGCCACTTCCTATCCTTCTTGCTTTTCTTTTTTTTTTGTAGTAGGCAGCATACTTTAAGGCCTGACTTCTTCCAAAAGCTCTGACAATGCCATTGCCTCTTGAGCTCTAAGAGGGCTTTCCCTTCTGCAGCCAGAGAGCAGCTGCACACATTAAAGCAGAGGCACTCTAAGCAGGATTTAATTAATTTTATTTTGAACTTAAACACGAGCACAACAATATAATGTAATTGGTAATGGATACATACACATTTTTATATCCAGTTCACCAGTAAAAATACTACTGCCATTGCTAGGGATAGGTGTCAGACTGCATACTAACTGTGCCCTATACTAACTTGGCCTTATTATTAACATGTTTTGAGACCTTCCTATGTGTATCGGAGCTTGGAAACACAGGTCTTTTCTTATGATGTACAGTTTAAGCATTGAGGAACAGCTCGCGCCTTGGAAATATGGTCAAAGGTTGAAAACAAGCCCCAGAATGATAAAGAAATTGTTGATGGTCAATTATAAGTGGTTTTGGTTTAAGGAAAGAAGTAACAGTTAAACAAGGGGGAAAAATGGCTAAGCAACAAGATAAGGTAGCTGCCCCAGTATGGGAAAATAGTACCCCTCAACATTGCACAATATGTAGTGATACAGTGCAATGGTGGAGGCCCAATGCTACAAACTTTCTAGAGACGGAAAGATCTTATAAAAGATTTCAGATTGAAAGGAGACAGAAGGGGAGAGAGAGAGATGTCCACATCAGTTCCAGACTCCATCAAAGAAGGCTTTTAAGGCTCACCTCGACCTGGGGACTAAGACCATAAAGGACTGTGCTAACTTCAGGGCATCGCTTGTGGTATTGTATACTCATAGCCAGTCGAGGATATGATTGCTAAAAACTAACCGCTTTGAATATGCAGTGATAGTGATTAATAATGATTAAGAACTAACCATTAGCATGAAATGCGCTGTTAATGAATATCCATCTAGTAAAGTTTTATTTTACAGTTTAAAGCTGGACAAATTTATCAGTCTTCTAAACACTCCCATTACAACAATCTCTTAACTCCCTGTGAAATATATGTAAAAATATATATGTAGCTGTTTATCTATATATATGAGTGTGTGTGTGTGTGTGTGTGTGTGTGTGTGTACATATGAATGCATATACACTTGAGAAAATTTAATTTTAATGGGTAGGGAAGTGTTACATCTTCAAGAGTCTATACATATTCACAATTCATTCAGTATTTTTAAAATCTCATTGCCTTTTCTGCGATTTTAATGTTCCTCTTGAAATCAATTTCTGCATAACACTTTTGATGTTTATCTTTCTCTTTTAGTAGATATCTAGCCTTTTTCTGTGGTGCATCAATAACATTCTATTTGCCTTAATCTAATTAATGCCTAAAATGCTATAGAGCTATAGGTTAAAAGTATTGCACAGCTTTATTTGAATCCTGATATTTGAAGCTGTCTACATTGTTATATAATTGAAGGCTCAAGGACTGCATCAGTGATTGTCCATGCTGCTTAACTGTTGGATAACTGGAAGATGATAGACCAAGAAAGCTATTTTCAGACTACTGAAATATTTCACTACCATCCTGGAACATGAAGAACTCTTTTGGTTAAAACATGCTAATACTCACACTCTTCCTTAATATTTGATTCTTTCATCTATGGTTGGAAGAGGTTCATATTTTTTTCTACACCCTCAGGGAAACAGGATATTTCACTTACAAATAAATAGTTCAGTTCTTAATCATATTTTAAAATCACTAGCCAGATAACAGTACCATGCA